AAAATCTAAAAAATATATATTGGAATATATTTTTTAAGTGAAAAAAAAATGGAATTAACAAATTTATTAAAAAAAAAATATACAATTTTTAAATAATAATTTATGAAAAAAAAATAAAAATATTTGCAAAATAAATAAAATATAAAAAAATTATAAAGTAACAAAAAAAATTCATTCAAAGAGTAATAATAGTCAATAATGATTACGAGGCTAGCGGTGGTGTATTATTTATCAATTACCAAATACTCGCATTTCGTCTCTTGTAAATATTTTATCAGACTTTTTAAATTCATTTTCTAGAGAGTTTAATACTTTTTCATGATTTGTTGAAGGAGAAATTGGGATTAAATTTTCTAAAAATGAATTATTATTATTTACAGGTGTTCGTGCTATGTTTTCTTCCATATCTGATACCTGATATATTAAAAATTTGAAAATTTATTACTTAAGAAATATGCGAAATTCCTTTTAATTGGCTAATTTAATTACCAAATTAACGTGTTAAATAGAAATTTTATCTTATTACATTTATCAGAATTATAGAAGGATTATTTTCACAAAATGTGAATTAGGCGGAAACATATCAAGTCTTCACAAGTAATATATTATTTGGTAATTTTGCTGGTATTCTATCCGTGTCTAAAGCTTCATTGGATATTTATAATTTTCGCACAAAAAGAAATTTCAATATGTTTTAGGTAAACTCTTAAATTTTGAAAATTATATCTGTGGTTTTCGGGGGCCTTGGTTGTGCATACGAAATTTAATCTAGACGAAATTTGATTAATAATAATAAAAATACACCAAATGAAAGCTATGGTTTTGGTCGAAGAAAATCAATAATTAAAAAATCAAAAAACATGATCCAAATTTTTATTTTACAAAAAAAAAAAGGGAAAAAGAGGTCTACAAGTTCAATAACAAATAATAGCAATCAAAAAAAGCCAAAATTTGGGACCATTTCAAAAATCAATATAAAGTGGATATTATGTTGATTTTGAAACAATTTTTATTGAAAAATAGTTGTAAATTGTGGACCAACTTGGAGCCCGATTACTATCGTCCATTTTATTTTATCGGACAAAATCATGTAAAAAATCATGTTATTTGTAATACTTGAAATTTTCTTCAGCGAAAAAAATTAAATCATTGATCTTTTAATAATATAATATCCCAACTTTTACTGGCTGTAATTAATTAACAAAGCCGGCGTGATTGATTGATTCATAACCCTTTC